ACATCTATAGGACATTTCACCCCAAAACAATCAACTTCACCTTTTTCTCAAGTGCACACGGAACCTTCTCCAGAATAGATCACATCCTGGGCCATAAATCTAGTCTTGGTAAATTCAAAAAGATTGAAATCATTCCAGTCATCTTTTCTGACCACAGTGCAGTAAGATTAGATCTTAATTACAGGAAAAAAATTATTAAAAATTCAAACATATGGAGGCTAAACAACACGCTTCTGAATAACCAACAAATCATAGAAGAAATCAAAAAAGAAATCAAAATATGCATAGAAATGAATGAAAATGAAAACACAACAACCCAAAACCTATGGGACACTGTAAAGGCAGTGCTAAGGGCAAGATTCATAGCATTACAGGCCTACCTCAAGAAACAAGAAAAAAGTCAAATAAATAACCTAACTCTACACCTAAAGCAACTAGAGGAGGAAGAAATGAAGAACCCCAGGGTTAGTAGAAGGAAAGAAATCTTAAAAATCAGGGCAGAAATAAATGCAAAAGAAACTAAAGAGAGCATAGCAAAAATTAACAAAGCTAAAAGCTGGTTTTTTGAAAGAATAAACAAAATTGACAAACCATTAGCAAGACTCATTAAGAAACAAAGGGAGAAGAACCAAATTAACAAAATTAGAAACGAAAATGGAGAGATCACAACAGACAACACTGAAATACAAAGGATCATAAGAGACTACTACCAGCAGCTCTATGCCAATAAAATGGACAACTTGGAAGAAATGGACAAGTTCTTAGAGAAGTATAACTTTCCAAAACTGAACCAGGAAGAAATAGAAGATCTTAACAAACCCATCACAAGCAAGGAAATCGAAACTGTAATCAGAAATCTTCCAGCAAACAAAAGCCCAGGACCAGATGGCTTCACAGCTGAATTCTACCAAAAATTTAGAGAAGAGCTAACACCTATCTTACTCAAACTCTTCCAGAAAATTGCAGAAGAAGGTAAACTTCCAAACTCATTCTATGAGGCCACCATCACCCTAATTCCAAAACCAGACAAAGATGCCACAAAAAAAGAAAACTACAGGCCAATATCACTGATGAACATAGATGCAAAAATCCTTAACAAAATTCTAGCAAACAGAATCCAACAACATATTAAAAAAATCATACATCATGACCAAGTGGGCTTTATCCCAGGAATGCAAGGATTCTTTAATATCCACAAATCAATCAATGTAATACACCACATTAACGAATTGAAAGATAAAAACCATATGATTATCTCAATAGATGCAGAAAAAGCCTTTGATAAAATTCAACATCCATTTATGATTAAAACTCTCCAGAAAGCAGGAATAGAAGGAACATACCTCAACATAATAAAAGCTATATATGACAAACCCACAGCAAGCATCACCCTCAATGGTGAAAAACTGAAAGCATTTCCCCTGAAATCAGGAACAAGACAAGGGTGCCCACTCTCACCACTACTATTCAACATAGTTTTGGAAGTTTTGGCCACAGCAATCAGAGCAGAAAAAGAAGTAAAAGGAATCCAGATAGGAAAAGAAGAAGTGAAACTCTCGCTGTTTGCAGATGACATGATCCTCTACATAGAAAATCCTAAAGACTCTACCAGAAAATTACTAGAGATAATCAACGAATACAGTAAAGTTGCAGGATATAAAATTAACACACAGAAATCTCTTGCATTCCTATACACCAACAATGAGAAAACAGAAAGAGAAATAAAGGAAACAATACCATTCACCATTGCAACAAAAAGAATAAAATACTTAGGAGTATATCTACCTAAAGAAACAAAAGACCTATACATAGAAAACTATAAAACACTGATGAAAGAAATCAAAGAGGACACAAACAGATGGAGAAATATACCGTGTTCATGGATTGGAAGAATCAATATTGTCAAAATGGCTATACTACCCAAAGCAATCTACAGATTCAATGCAATCCCTATCAAACTACCAACGGTATTTTTCACAGAACTAGAACAAATAATTTCACAATTTGTATGGAAATACAAAAAACCTCGAATAGCCAAAGTAATCCTGAGAAAGAAGAATGGAACTGGAGGAATCAATCTGCCTGACTTCAGACTATACTACAAAGCCACAGTCATCAAGACAGTATGGTACTGGCACAAAGACAGAAATATAGATCAATGGAACAGAATAGAAAGCCCAGAGATAAATCCACGAACCTATGGTCACCTTATCTTTGACAAAGGAGGCAAGGATATACAATGGAAAAAAGACAACCTCTTTAACAAGTGGTGCTGGGAAAACTGGTCAACCACCTGTAAAAGAATGAAACTAGAACACTTTCTAACACCATACACAAAAATAAACTCAAGATGGATTAAAGATCTAAATGTAAGACCAGAAACTATAAAACTCCTAGAGGAGAACATAGGCAAAACACTCTCTGACATAAATCACAGCAGGATCCTCTATGACCCACATCCCAGAATTTTAGAAACAAAAGCAAAAATAAACAAATGGGACCTAATGAAACTTAAAAGCTTTTGCACAACAAAGGAAACTATAAGCAAGGTGAAAAGACAGCCCTCAGATTGGGAGAAAATAATAGCAAACGAAGCAACAGACAAAGGATTAATCTCAAAAATATACAAGCAACTCCTCCAGCTCAACTCCAGAAAAATAAATGACCCAATCAAAAAATGGGCCAAAGAACTGAACAGACATTTCTCCAAGGAAGACATATAGATGGCTAACAAACACATGAAAAGATGCTCAACATCACTCATTATCAGAGAAATGCAAATCAAAACCACAATGAGGTACCATTACACACCAGTCAGGATGGCTGCTATCCAAAAGTCTACAAGCAATAAATGCTGGAGAGGGTGTGGAGAAAAGGGAACCCTCTTACACTGTTGGTGGGAATGCAAATTAGTACAGCCACTATGGAAAACAGTGTGGAGATTTCTAAAAAAGCTGGAAATAGAACTGCCATATGACCCAGCAATCCCACTTCTGGGCATACACACCGAGGAAACCAGATCTGAAAGAGACACGTGCACCCCAATGTTCATCGCAGCACTGTTTATAATAGCCAGGACATGGAAGCAACCTAGATGCCCATCAGCAGACAAATGGATGAGGAAGCTGTGGTACATATACACCATGGAATATTACTCTGCCATTAAAAAGAATTCATTTGAATCAGTTCAAATGAGATGGATGAAACTGGAGCCCATTATACAGAGCGAAGTAAGCCAGAAAGATAAAGACCATTACAGTATACTAACACATATATATGGAATTTAGAAAGATGGTAACGATAACCCTATGTGCAAAACAGAAAAAGAGACTCCTATGTATAGAACAGACTTGTGGACTCTGGGAGAAGGCGAGGGTGGGATGTTTCAAGAGAACAGCATTGAAACACGTATATTATCTAGGGTGAAACAGTTCACCAGCCCAGGTTTGGTGCATGAGACAAGTGCTCGGGCCTGGTGCACTGGGAAGACCCAGAGGGATTGGGTGGAGAGGGAGGTGGGAGGGGGGACCGGGATGGGGAATACATGTAAAAAAAAAAAAAAAAAAGATACACTATGGTTGTGATAAAAAATAAATAAATAAATTAATTAATTTAAAAAAATAAAAAATAAAAAAAAATAAAAGTCACATGAAAAAAAACAAAACATTATGCTGAGGGAAAGAAACCGGACACAGAAGCGGACATACTGTACGATTCCACTTCTATGAAATTTCACTCTGAAGTATACAAAGCATCACATGGGCTGCCGGGGTCTGTGTGAGCAGTGTAGACTGAGAAGAATGATCGGAACTCTATCTTGATTGCAGTCATAGTTACAGATGTCAAAACTGCACTGTGCACTTAAAATGGCTGCTGGGTTTGTAAATCATGCTTCAGTAAAACTGAAAAATAGGGTAAAAAAGAAAACTATATTATGCCAGATTACTCAATCAACAAGGCATACAAAGCAGTCAGTAAGTATAAAAGTTTGACTTAGGATTCTCTCATCAATACATTTTGTGCAGATTAGGAGAAGAGGGAGAAATTTTGATTCTTTTGTGTGTGTGTGTGTGTGCTTATAAAAGTAACCCATCTGTAAGAAACTAAAGTCGTGTAGAATGTGAGATCTTAGTTCCCCAACCAAGGATGGAACCTATACCCCCTTGCAGTAGAAGGGCTGAGTCTTAAGCACTGGACCACCATGGAGGTCCATCTATTTTTTTTCTTTTTAACTTAACAAAACATGCTTTATTCAGTAAAAACTGGTGAGTGTAAGCAGGACAGGGCAGATGTACACAGGGGCTGGGGACAGGAGGGTCAGGGGTTAGCACAGGAGAGACATGACTCAGGATGCAGGAGCCGGAGATCAGAAGACATGGAGGCGAGAGGGTCTTCAGTAACTTGTCACCTGCTCTTCTGGAGGCTCTGTGAGGCTCAAGAGCTCCTGGGGGTTCCAGAGGCTGGATCAGCAAGGGAAGGCTTGTCCCCACAGACCTAGGGAGGCCCTGCTGCCAGCATCATCAGGGGACAGGATGAGCGCACCTGGACGGCAAGCACCCTTCACATGGGGCCTGGAGCTCCAGGCTGGTCTCTAAGATAGGGTTGTCCAGTGTGGAGAGTGACACAGAAACTCAGAAGCCTCACCTTTTTAGCTCCATCATTCAAAGCTGAGAAACACCAGTAACAGAGCCCACGTGGATTATCAAATGAAGTAACCACTGCCCTCCCACCCCCAATAAAAAGCCCCAAAGTTGTCATGGATCACCATCTCCTTGACTCCAGCTCAAAGATTTGGGCTCCACTGTCAAAGGAACCCCCACTTTTCCCTAACTGAATTAGATGTAATTCTTAGTGGGGTACTTGGAGGGACCTCAAGTGTGTCGGCTGATGGTGAGTATCAGGCCATACAATGACTGGAGCCCTAGGACTGTGCCCCCACCCCCAGAAGGGCAAGTGCAGGACAGTGGCCCCCAACTCAGCAACAATAGGCCAGAAGTCGCCTAGTCCAGGTAGATGGAGGCCCCCAGCTTCCGCTTTTGGGCCTCAGACACTAGAGCAGTGTACAAGTTCCGGATGATGGTGTGCGCTGTCCAGAACCCGGGGATCAAGGTCAGGACCGCTGAGATGACAAAGACGATCTGGAAGATGAGCACCAGACAAGCCTTGGAATCCTTGTCCTCCAGGCAGGGGGTGCACTTGGCTCCCACGAGGTAGACCGCAGGCCGAGCGGGACCACAGGTAGAGAGATGATGCAGAGGGTTTGATAGCCTGCAGGTCCTGGGGAGGCGCCAGCAGCAAGTTGTACACTTTGCACTTTATCCATGCAGAACATCCAAAGCACCTCCCACACCACCTGGGCCACCACAATGCCATTGCTGATGAAAACGGTTACCTTCCACAGGGGCTGGACGCAGGACATGAGGGCATTTACCCAGCCGAGCAGCATTGGGACGATCTCCAGTATTTGCAGACAAGCGGAGGCCATGGTGAGGTTGAGGAGCAGCGAAGGAGTCCACAAAGATTTGGAGTAGCTGGCTGAATCTATCTTTTTCTTTTAATATTTATATTTATTTATTTATTTTTAGTTCTACCAGTTTATTGCTACCAACCCATCTCCCTCCACCCTCATGCACACGTGCTCAGTCATGTAACCCCATGGACGGCGGCCTGCCAGGATCCTCTGTCCATGGACTTTTCCAGGCAAGAATATTGGAGTGGGTTGCCATTTCCTTCTCCTTATTTTTATTTGTGTATTTATTTGGGCTTCCCAGGTGGCACCAGTGATAAAGAACTTGCCTGCCAATGCAGGAGACATAAGAGACACAGATTTGATCCCTGGGTGGGGAAGATCCCCTGGAGGAGGGCATGGCAACCCACTCTAGTATTCTTGCCTGGAGAATCCCATGGACAGAGGAGCCTGGGCAGGCTAAAGTCCATGGAGTCCCAAAGAATCGGACATGGCTGAAGCAACTTAGCACAGCACAGTCCATGTGTTTATTTGACTGCACCGGGTCTTAGTTGTGGCTCGAGGGGCATCTTCATAGCTGCGTGTGGGGTCTTCAGTTGCAGCATATGAGCTCTCAGCTGAGGCATGTGGGATCTAGTTCCCCAATCAGGGATGGAACCTGGGCCCTCTGCTTTGGAAGTAGGGAGTCTTAGCCACTGGACCACCTGGGAAGTCCCAAGTCCATTTAATTTTTATTGCTGAAAACAGTATTAGTCATTCTTGTAATTACATAGTATGAGGATTCCTATATGTAAGTTGGTTTCCTAGAAGTCTCTTGGTCAAAAAACAGCTTCAAGGAGAGGAAAAAAATGATTCCCTTTCTGTTGCTGTGGCTATAGGATATGTGTGTGGGGGTGGGGCAGAGGAGGAAAGGAGATACATTCTCAAGGATTCAGGTTCTTATAGTTGTTTTTTTTTTTAATCAGACAAGATTATTAATGACTAGACAAAACCCAACTCTGGCTGACTTAGTGAAAATTGAGTTTTGTTGAAAGGATTCTGTTTAGTTCCTAGGATTAGGGGACAGCTTTGTTATAAATTGAATAACATTTCACGGATCAGTTTGAGATTGGAATCACCAGTGTAACACAGCTGCTATGGGAAAATCTGTCTCAAACTTCCAAAACCTGGGCTTCCCTGGTGGCTCGGTGGTGAAGAATCTGTCTGCCAATGCAGGAGAGATGGGTTTGATCCCTGGTCTAGCAAGATCCCACATGCTTCAGCGCAACTAAGCCCATGAGCCACAACTAGTGAGCCTGTGCTCTAGAGCCCTGAAAACAACTGCGAGCCTCGCGCTGCAACTACTGAAGCCTGAGCACCCTAGAGCGTGTGCTCCACAGAGGAGCCACAGCGGGGAAGAGCCCTCTCACCGTGGGTTGGGTGGTCTTACACCTTAACTGTTCTGTTTCACCCCCAGCTGGGTGTAGTTACTCAATTCTGATGCTAAGGTCTGGAGTTAGCCCCCGCCTCCAAACGTGAACAGACTCAGTCCCTGTGACATGGTGATAAAATAAGAAAGAAATATTTGGTCTTTGTCCTAGTTTCTGGCCTAAGAGCTTCTGAAACCCTTGGAAAATTCCCTGAGGGTTAGTGGTGAGAATTCTTTGTTGCTCATATAAGCTCCTTTCAACCACACCTAAGTTTATACTAATGAGGTGACTCTTGGTGGGTCCCTAGATAGCTGGTTACCAGATAAACCAATCAGGTGATTTGAGCGTTAGAATTTTTAGTCTCACCCTTTGCCCACCTCTGAGAGAAGGGAGAGGGGCTGGATATTGAGTTTATCACAAATGGCCACGATGATTTAATCAACCATGCCTGTGTAATTGAACCTGCACTGTTGTTCAGTCCCTAAGTGATGTCTGACTCTTTGTGCCCCCATGGACTATAGCACTCCAGTCTCCTTTGTCCTCCATTATCTTCCAGAGTTTGCTCAAACTCACATCCATAAACACCTCTAAACTATGACCTTCAGGGAGTTTCCATATGTCAGGAAGGTGCCACACTTGAACTCCACAGGGACAGACATTCCTGTGCTTGGGACCCATTCAGACCTTGCCCTGTGTACCTCTCAGTCTGGCTGATCAACTAACTGTATCCTTTATAACACTTTTTATGAGAAACCAGGGAAAGGAAGTAAAATGTTTCTCTGAGTTCTGTGAGCCAATATAGCAAATTATCAAATATGAGGAGGGAACTGTGGGAATCTTCAATTTATAGCTGGTTGGTCAGAAGCATGCTGACCAACAAGCATGGCTTGCGACCGGCATCAGAAGTCGGGGGAGGAGGAGCAGTGTTGTGGGACTGGGCCTTTAACTTGTGGGGTCAGGTAGTTGGTGTGAGACTTGAATTAAACTGTAGGAAACCCAGCTGAAGACCAATGGGTTGGAGGATTGTTTGTCAGTGTGAGGAGAAACTCGTACACACTTGTTGTCAGAAGTTAATTGCTGTGCATGAAAAACAGATCTTGCTAATCCTCAACAAGATGGCACTCATGTCAGCTGCCGGCCACACTTCAGAGGTCCCCAGATCAACCATACTTCTGACCAACTGGCTTCAAATTTAGGGCTTCCCATGACTCTCTTAGGTTTGGTAATCCACTAAAATGACCCAGAGGCTTCCCAGTGGCTCAGCGGTAAAGAATCCAGCTTCAACTCAGGAGCCGCAGGAAACACGGGTTCGATCCCTGGGTGGGGAAGATCCCCTGGAGGAGGGCATGGCAACCCGCTCCAGAACTCTTGCCTGGAGAATCCCAAGGACAGAGGAGCCTGGCAGGCTACAGTCCCTAGGGTCACAAAGAGTTGGACGTGACTGAAGAGACTTAGCACGGCACAGCACAGAACTCAGAAAAGTACTAACAACTACTGCTTTATTGTAAAGGATAGAGACCAGGAACGGCCAAATGAAGAGACACATCAGATGCAGCCTGAGGGACAATACACAGCTTTGGTGCCGTCTCCCTGTGGAGTCAGGGTGTGTCACGCTCCAGGCACACAGTAGGTTCACCAACCCAGAAGCTCCCTCTAGCCTAAGTGCCAGAGTTCTTATTGAGGTTTCATCACTAAAGGCAAGATAGATGAAATCACTGGTCACCTGATTGCACTCAGCCCCCAGACCCCTCCCCTCTCTGGAGGTGGAAAATTCCAATCCTCTAATGATGTGATTGGTCTTTCTGGGGACCAGCCCCCATTCTTTTTTTCCCCCCAATATTTATTTGTTTAGGCTGGGCCAGGTCTTATTTGTAGCATGTGGGCTCTAGTTCCCGGACCAGGAATCAAACCTGGGACCCCTTGCATTGATAGCATGAAGTCTTACCTACTGAACTACCAGGGAAGTCCCCAGTCCACCATTCTGAAGCTATCTAGGGGTTCACTTTGAGTCACCTCACTAGCATAACATAGATGCTCCTATTTGCTCAGAAAATTCCACGGTTTTTCTGTGCCAGGAACAAAAATCAGATACATTGTGTTCTTTATTATCCCACAGCAGTGTCACAGTTACTGTCATTGCCATTGTGCCTCTCCTCCTGGCAAACTTCTGGGAAGGCAGGGAGCTTGACATGTTGTTTGCCAGTAAAGCTCCAGGATCTCATCTGGGGCCTGGCACATATGGTACCCTCTATAAATTTGCTGAGCAAGTCAATGAGGCTGGCGCTGATGTAGCTGTGGACTTCAGGTATTGGTTATGCTGTATTCAAAAATAGCATCTTGGGGCTTCCTTGGTGGCTCAGTGGTAAAGAATCCTCCAGCCAATGCAGGAAACATGGGTTTGATCCCTGATCTGGGAAGATCCCATACGCTGCAGAGCAACTAAGCCCGTGGGCCACACCACACCTGTGGAACCTGTGCTATACGGTCTGGGAACCGCAACTACTGAGCCCATGGGCCTAGAGCCCATGCTCAGCAACAAGAGAAGCAAAAATGAGAAGTCCGGGCATTGCAACTGCAACTAGACAGTATCCCCCTGCTCTCAACTAGAGAAAAGCCCACACAGCAATGAAGATCCAGCACAGCCAGACATAAATAAACATTTAAAAAAGCATTTTGTAGCCTAAATGTCTATCCATAGGGAACTGGTTGAATAAACCATGGCACATCATAGAATGGAATGATGCTTCAGATATAGGAGCTAAAAATGAATAGATCTTCAAGGCTGAATGTGTAATATTACAAAAAAATAGTCAAGGTTCAGGACAATATAGAATGGCACGTTATCTTTAACATACAGTGAAAAGTGTTTAAATGCTAACTGTATAGCCTAGTGACCATTTACTAATTAGTACATCTGTGTTTACCACTTTGCAGATCAAGTTATAGAACACTTCCAGTACTTGGAAATCTTTCTCATATTTCCTTGCAGATCATACCCTCCAAATGGGAACCGTTATAGTAACTTCTCTCACCTTAGATTAATTTTGCCTGATTTTGAACTTTATATCTTGCGAATCACAGAGAATTTACGATCCATTTAAGCTAAGTATTCTATCCTGTTATAAACAAAAAAGGCTTTGTGACCTGCTTCTCCTACTTACCACTATGTCATGAATATCTTGCAATTATAATCTGCAAAAAATCATTACTTTGAATTGCTATATTGTAAATAATATGTTCTCTTCTATATTCAACTATTTTATATATATAATTCATGAGGGAGGAGGAATTCAGAGAATCTATTCAGGCAGCAAGTGGAGAATCTGAAACTGAAACTTGCCTGTCATGCACTCGCTCTTCCACTGTAAAAAGCCAAATGCTCAAATATGGGCAGAGCCTTGCAGATGTCTTGGCACGAGGGCATTATAATAGCAACAAGAATGACTAATAAGTATTAATGGCCCATGACAGGAGAACAAATGCCGTTAGTTATCTTGATATATAAGGAATATTAGTAATGCTTGTACAGAGTTTATTCATGCAAATATTATTAGCATGTGTCAGGAGGAACTGCAGGGTCTTATATCTAGGCTCACAGCTCAGGTCTCTGCCACTCCTTCCAGATGTGCAGGGGTTGGGACTCCTAGGAACACGCCCCCGCGGAGCCCTGCGGAGCCAATCGGCACGCAGAAGGAGGGGCTCTGAGAACGACAACGGTGCCGTCCAATGGACAGAGAGTCGGGTCCACTCCTGGCCAATGGGCGCGCTCCTCCGTGACGGTCGGAAGTGGTGAGGCGGCTTCGGGGCCCGTTGTTCAGCCGCGGGGGCTCACAGTAGAGACTCAGCGTCGGCGGCTTAGCGGGTTGGTTTGGCGTCTCTTGTCTCGTCCCAGGTGAGAGAAGCGGTGGCCAGCGTCTGGGGAACCTCCTGCGGCCTCCACTTTCGGGAGGAGGCCGGCATCCGGAGGATGGGCTCTTGTGGGCCCCTGGGATCGCGGGATTTCTCGTAAAAAAAAAAAAAAGAAAGAAAGATGCCCGCGTCGCGGAGTCTGTCCTGGCCAGTGGGAAAGGCCGTCCTTGCTCCTCTTAAGCGGAGCCTCGACAGCTCCCGGCGGTACCACCCCTTCCAGGCCTTGGCCCCGCGAGGCTGGGAGTCGGCCGTAGTTCGGAGCGCGCGGTGGGCACCGCGCCCCGGGCGGGGCGGGGCGGGGCGGGGCCCGAGTCCCGAGCGGCCAACCTGAGAGGGGCCGCGCGGGTGGCCTGGCGTGGGCTGTTGGCGGCCGGACCCGGGTTCGAGGCCCCGACTCGGAACCGTGCAGCAGCTGTCTTCCCCGGATTTCCTCTTGCGCGGTCTCTGAAATGGGGGTGATGACTTTTTCACCTCGTCGGATTGTGGTCTGGATGAAAAGATTGTCCATGTACAAGCGTTTAGCCACCAGTAGTGTTAGTCTCTCAGTCGTGCCCGACTCTTTGCGACCCCATGGACTGCAGCCCACCAGGCCCTTCTGTCCATGGGATTCTCCAGGCAAGGATACTGGAGTGGGTTGCCATTTCCTTCTCCAGGTGATCTGTCCAACACAGGGCTCGAACCCGGGTCTACCTGCACTGCAGGCAGATTCTTTACCGACTGAGCCCTCAGTAAACAGCCGGTCAACGTCAATTACGATTGGCGAAGCTGGTGCCCTCCCCACTCTGCATCTCGGATCACCCCTCCCCCTCGGGAAACTGCCTCCTGGGGTGTGGACCCTGCGGTGTGTCCCCACCCACCTCGGGCACTGGGAAGTCCTGGGAGTCCTGGCCTCCGCCTAAGAGGGGCTTCCTTCTAAGGTTACTTCTAAGGTTACTCTCCCAGGGCGCTTCCGTGCGTTCGCTCCTTACTCCTCCCAGTGACCCTTTCTGCGTGAGGAATCCGAAGGCCCAGAGAGGTTAAATCACACATCTGCTGAACGGCAGAACCAGAATTGACCCTGGGACCAACTCCGAGCCCTGCGTGCACCCCAACCCCCTTGAAGCTAGAGAACCCGGCACTTGACTCTTCAGAGGCTCTGACTCTGGCTTTGGTGGGATGGAATACAGCATGCCTAGGATCAGTCAAACAGCCCTGAGAAAAGTTATCAGGCTTCCCCCGTTTGGGAACATGATTTATTTTTCATAGATAGGTGCTTCCTGTTACTAGTTTACATCACATCAGAGTGGATGTCCTTAATCTTGTCACTTCCTAGTTTAAAACTCTTCTGTGGTTTATCACTGAACTTGGAATATAATCCAGTATTCGTTCTCTCCTACAGGATAAGGGCTTGAATCATTCCCCTTTTGCATTATGCTCTTCCAGATCTACCTGTACTTTCTCTCATTGCCCATTAGGCCTAGTGCCTGAGTGGGTTTTTCTCTGTTCCATCCTCTTATCTTCCTCTGCAAGGATGGATCCTTGTGCTTCAGGTCTTTTTTTATATGTCATGTCCTCAGAAAGGCCTTCCCTGACCGCCCTTATCTAGAATAGATTCCCTTCATTCAGTCTCCATTTGTCTACTTAACTTTAACATCAAAATACTCATCAGTTTCTTTGCTTTTTTTTCCCCATCACTAAATTGTTGTGTTAGAGATTGGACAATATATTTTGTTATTTTGTATTGTTAGGACTAGGTTACAAGTGGCACACGGTCTTAATTATGTTGAATGAACAGTAGGTGTTTTGAAAAGTGTTAGTTTGGAAAGGTGTAAACCATTCAAGAGCCCTACTAAGGGGCAGTATTTTAGACCATTTTTGCGTCACGGAAAGGGGTAATCTGAGTATTGTAAATACTGGTATTAAAGTTGCCAAAACTTTGCTTTCTGCATTGACATCTTGTTTAGAAAGAACTAAAGACTTTATAGTGGCAAAATCTGGCAGACACTATTTCAATAAAGTGATCAAAGTTAGCATCATCTGTATTAATGACTGTTGACATCATGTGGTTTCTGATATAATGCCCTGAGATGAGCACAACATCACTTCTGTGGTATTTTTGTATTAAGCATAAATGTACAGAAATGTATTAAGCATAAATTCAACTTGAAGCATATTCTACAAAATAGATAACCAGTACATTTAACAAGCTCATGCAGGATGAAAGACTGAAGGAATTGCTGGCGGTCTAGTGGTTAGGGCTCCGTTCTTCCTCTGCAGGAGGCATGGGTTTGAGGGTTTGGTCCCTAGTTGGGGAACTAAGATCCTGCATGCTGCTCGGTCAAAAAAAAAAAAGGAATGACTGAAAAAATATCCCTGATCAAAGAAGATTAAGGAGAAATAACAAATAAATGCAATATTTGACTCAGTTGCATCCTGAACCCAAGAAAGGGTATTAGTGCATGATTTGTGAAATTAACTAATTGTAGATTAGTTGTTAGTATTGTATTAGTATTAGTTTCCTGCCCTTTAGTAATTTTACTATGGTTATTTATGATGTGCTGGGTGAGAGATATGTGGGAGTTCTTTGTGCTGTTTTTGCAAGTCAAATTATTTTTATTTTTTGTTGTTAATTACCTATTTTTGGCTGTTCTGCATCTTCACTGCTCTGTGGGCTTTTCTCTAGTTGGCAGAGAGCGGGGGCTGCTCTTTAGTTGTGGTGTGCGGGCTTCTCTTTGTGGTGGCTTCTCTTGTTGCCGTTCCTGGGCTCTAGAATACAAGCTCAGTAGTTGTGGCACAAGGGCTTAATTGCTCCGGCACGTGGGATCTTCCCAGACTGGGGATCAAACCCATGTCTCCTACATTGGTAGGCAGATCCTTCACCACTGAACCACTAGGGAAGCCCTGCAAGTCAAGTTATTTTAAAATGAAAATGAAAATAATCAGACCCAAAGTGTGTTGGGTATTAAATGAAATGAACTGGCTTTGGTGACATTTTCTGTGCACTGTTGTGTGTGTTTGTGTGTGTGTGTGTGTGGTCATTCTTAAAACAGAAATGAAATGGAAAGATCTGACTTCTTCCTTTGTTGTTTTTTAGGAACAGCTCAAGATGGCTGAATTTCTAAATGACCAGGACACTCAACTGTGTGACAATTGGTAAGAAATCGAAGAAATATTGGAATGAGGACAATTCTGTAAACAGTTGGTTTAGTAGTTGGCAGGTTAAAATTGGAGCCATATAACATGTCATGCAAATATATGGGATTAGTTTTTTTTAAACAATTTTGGATAAAATTGCCTGTTTTAGAAATTCCACAAGGTGATTGGTTTAGGTAGCATAGAACAGTGACAAGACTGATGGGATGGAGCTGGGAGTTAGGGGTCTGGTTCCTACCGTGAATTAGTTAATGACTTTTGGCAAGTCACTTGGCTGCTTTGAATCCTCACTTTTCTGACCTATAGGTTCAGGAATTTGTTTTTTGTCTTCCTGAAAATTATCGTAAGTTTTTTAAAGATAATAAAAATATAATGAAATGTTTGGACTAGAGCAGTGTTTTTCAAAGTGTGTTGCAGGGACCTCCCTGCATGGTTGCAGCGGCTGTCTTGAGGTTGAATGGGATCATGGTTTAGTGTGAACTTGGCTCTATGTGTACAACAGAACAGCTCAGCTGTTTTTGTAAAGGATTTTACTGAAAGAATGTTCCATTGCTTTAAAAAAAGTTTAGTTCAAGTCTTTCAGCAGTCCCGCATGATTCCAGAACTGTTAGTAGAAGGACTGGGTGCAGACTTGAATGTCAAGCTTTCTTATATTTGTGTTTTTAACTGACAAGAGTGACAAGAAAGAGCAACTCTTTTCTGCTGAAATGAAACTTAGGAGTGCAGCTTGTAATCAGCTGATTTCTGGTTGTACTTTCTCAAGAACTTGGCATTTTAGGGATATCCAAGTTCCCTTACTGAAAGCAAAAGAAAAAAGCAAAGCAGAACTACCTGTGCTATATTTAACTTACCAAATTGTGGTAGGAGAGGCTGTTGAAAGATGAGCCTGATAAAATTTTTTCTTTCTTTTTTTTTTTAAATTGCCTTTTGCTTTCTACTCAGCTTCTCAGCAGCATTAGGATACAGTCAGAGCAACTGTTGGTCACAATATTCTTTCCCTGCATGGAATTAAGATTTTATTTCTGTGAGGATGTCTTGCCTTATAGGGTATTTTTTTGGTACTGTGCCACTGTTCCTTTCACCTTTTAAAAAAATTGTTTTAGCTCTGTTTAGGTTTTATGTGTACAGTTTCTGATGCAAGTGTAATAATCAATTATACAAATAATCACAAGAAAACATTGTGTTTTTAGAAAGAAACAGACATATTGGCTTTAACATCAGTTAAGAGATTCTTATTTTTTCAGTCCACTACATTTTGAAGAAATCTCAAACCTAGGACAGTATATAAATGTCCCTATGCTAAGGGACTTTTTTAAAAAAAGAAAGGATAAGTTAATGGAAAGCTAATGAAAACAAGGTTATTCAAAGCCAAAGCAATTTAAAGAAAAAAGGCAGATTAGCATGAAAACCTGACCAAGCCAGTACAATCCTCCCATTTAAGTAGCCCTGTTTAAATTCCAGCTTTTAAAATTCTGTCTTTAGAGCCATATTCCTGTTGTTCCCTAAGAAAAGTTAAGGTGCTCATTAGAGTATGTGCTGCGGTTAAACCTTCTGGGCCAGGAAGAAGAATAGTTTGTTGTGATTGAAGGTGTTTTTTTTTTTTGCATGTTACCTCTTTTCTTACTGTTTTGTCCGTTGATGGGAGAGTTTGAGTCTCAAAAACAAGCTTCAGTGTTAAAAGACTTTGACTTCTTATTTTTGCATGGTTCTATGTCATTTGGAAGCCTGCTGGGATTTTTCTGGAAACCTTGGAAAATAAAATTTCCATTTTCTGGAAACCTTGGAAAGTGAAATTTCATCTCTAACTTGGCTAGTTCTTCCTTGGGGCTTTTAGCAGTTTTATCTAGAATTGAATGTGTTCTCATTTAAAACATCTTAATTTTATCTGTAGGTAGGAGGCAAGTATATTAGTATTTTGTCTCTCTAGAACTTTTGGTGGAACTACCTTGGCAGCTAAATTAAAAAAAAAGTAACCATCAGGCAACCATTTTGCGTAATTGCTGCAGTTGTCTTTTATCTTCTTTCAGGGTTTCCCAAAAAGTGACATTGTAAATGCTCTGTGACCTTACCTGACAACTGCTTTTGATTCTTGCTTCTTTATGTCATGGTCCTTAATATTTTTTAATCCTAAAGTTTTTAGTGGCATTATACATGTAGAATGAATGCTCTGTGTCAGTAGATTGTCCTGAAGAGCCTTGTAAAATAAAGACCAGACATTTATTTTCTTGACTTTGGCTGTTTAAAGAAAATTGTTGTCAAAATTACGAAAAAAGAATCTAGACTCTCAGCACTGTAAGAGGTAATTGCTGGCTTTAATTTTTCGTGGCATCTGTGCACACAGGATTTGCAATCAGGATATGACTTTGCTTCCTGCGCTTTGTTGGTATACAGTATCCTTAGGTATTTTTAATAGTTTTCAGTTTTTTACCGGTTTATGATACTAATGAAAATCGTCATAATCCCAAGAGTGGAATTACTGGTCTTTAACAAGTAATTTAATGACAGGGTCTTTGTTTTATTAAAGACACTTTAACTGTTAATGGTCCTAGAAATAGAAATGCAGTTTTAGACTGTTTAAAAGCAGTGGTTTTATACTACCACCAGCAATCTGTTAAGAGTACTAGTTTCATAACATCTTTAATAGTAGGATTTACTAATTTTAATATTTATTAGTTTAATAGATTTAGATAACTTTGATTTATAGCTCCTTCCACTATATATTTTAATATTCTTCAGTTTTGAAAAACTTAAGCTGAGTTAATTTAAAACTGATGGTTTTCTTAGAAAGCTGGCAATTTTGGTAAAATAGGGGACATTAAGGGTGTCAAAGCATTGGTCGTTTCCCTCTTAGCCATCTGAGTTTTCTTCCCATCTCTCACACTTGATTGTTACTCTGCATCCCCTTCCAATTTTGTTTTGAGAGCTGCCTCCATGACTAGGGTACAGGTGACATCAAGGTACATGCCTTGATGGTTCTACTTTTGGATGAAAATGAAATTGCTTTTTTTTTTTTGGTGTCTTAATCTTTTAGATTGGGAGTATGACTAGCTGGAGGCACACCTGTCATCCTACTTTAAAATGTTTCTTAGACTGTGTCTGAAGATGAAAACTATAAAAGAGAAATAATCTGCAACTTGATGTGGGAGAAGGTCTCTGTAGTATTCAGCTTCAGAGTTGAAACAGGTTATTACAGATTTGTTTTGTAACTGTCTGTATTTATCCTATTCAGTGTTTTGTTTTCTGAAAATTTATCCTAGGTGACATACTCACAGGCACATTCTGTTAATGCTTCCTGTAGTTAGACTGAAATTGGAGATTTCTAATGGTCATAACTGAATGAGTGAAAGGAAGGCCTTTGAATGTTATGTGCCTCTAGTTTGAGTGTATGTGTACTCTGGGGGAAGGGATTCAGGATTTCCTTTTGGTACATTTCTGCAGTAAAGTTTATACCAACCCAACCAGAGAGCTTGTTTCCAGTTCATGTCCAGCCTGCTTTGAAAGACATGTGAGACATAAAGAGGGCAGGATCCCTTCCCCACTGACTCCCAAAGCTGGCATCTGCCCCTTTTGGTTTGACTTTAGTGGCATAAAATCTAATGTGATTAAAGGTAGCTGATACTGAAAGTAAATGGTAGATGGGTTTTTTTTTTTTTAATTTATTTTTTAAAAATAATCCTGGAGTGGATCGTTGTGCTTTGGAGCGTGGATGGTTTTGGAAAAGCCTAGCTCTGCTAGCTCCTCGTGGCATCTGACTTCATGTTGTTGGTTGTGATGAACTCTGACGTTTAGAAAGTGAGGCTGAGCTTTTAGAGGTTGTGCACAGCACTGAGAACTCAGTGTTGCATGGAAAACTGAAAACCTTCAAGAATTAATTCTTGGAAAGCAGGGGCAGTAACAGTCACAGGGTTTTTTCGTTAGGTCCTCACTAAAGAGAAGTAATGGAATCTGAAGATTGGACCAGACAGATTTCCCTGTGATTCCTCTGGGCATAGATGTCAGTAATTCTTGCCTTTTTCTTTGATCTATTTCTGTAGCAAAAAAGAAATTCCTGTGTTTAACTTTACCATCCATGAGATCCACTGTCAAAGGAACATTGGTATGTGTCCTGTCTGCAAGGAACCATTTCCCAAATCTGACATGGAGACGCACGTGGCTACAGAACACTGTCAGGTGAACCACCACGTACTCAAATGTTCAGGAATGGGTTAGACTTGCTGTGTGTGTGTGTAAGTGAGCGTGTTGTCACAAAGCCCATTTACTGAATCTTGCTTCTTACCCTAGGTGACCTGCAAGTGTAACAAGAAGTTGGAGAAAAGGCAGCTAAAGAAGCATGAGGTTAGTCTCCCTGTGCCATGAAGGGAATTACCACGGGGCCAGTCCTGCTGAGATTACAGAGCCGCCTGCAGAGCAGAAAGCCGGTCTGGTCGAGTCTTTGTTCTCCACCAGCGCCAGGCACACAGCCTCTCAAAGCCGGTTTGAGCCTACTTGAGACTTCAACTGTCTGCTGCCAGATCTGACTGCACGCTGCTGTGCCTCAGGCGCAAGCCTCAGAGCCTTTGGAACCGAGTCCTTCCTGCTGGGGTTTGACTGTTGGCAGGCTTACTGAGTGCTAAACCAGGCCTGGGATGGCCAGTGTGGTACAGCCTCTTTAGCACACAGCCTGCCCTCTATCTTCTAATCCCATTTTGACTTCTTGATCGCTTGGGTGACATGCTGTTTACACCCAGACAAATTCTCAGCATTTGACAAGAGACAACATAGTATCATTTGGCCTCTAGTTGAGATAAAATTGGGCATAATTGAATAAGTGTGTGTTTTTTTTTTTTTTTTTAATTTTTGGCTGTGCTGGGTCCTTGTTGCTGCCCTTTGGCTTTCTCTAGTTGTGGTGAGTGGGAGCTGCTCTCTTGTGGTGTGCAGGCTCCTCACTGCCGTGGCGTCTCTTGTGATAGACTCTAGGACGTGCCGGCTTCAGTAGTTGCGGCCCATGGGCTCAGTTGCCTTGAGGTACTTGGGATCTTCCTGGACCAGCGATCGAATCTGTGTCCTCTGCATTGGCAGGGGGATTCTCCACCACCTGACCACCAGGGAAGCCCTATATATATATATATACGTACGTGAAGTCACTCAGTCGTGACTTTGCAACCCCATGGACTGTAGCCCACCAGGTTCCTCTGTCCGTGGGATTCTCCAGGCAAGAATACTGGAGTGGGTTGCCATTTCCTTCTCCAGGGGATCTTCCCAACCCAGAGATCGAACCCAGATCTCCCGAATTGCAGGCAGACGCTTTACCGACTAAGCCACCAGGGAAGTCCATATATATGTATGTGTGTGTGTGTGTGCGCACGTGTGTGTGTGTGTGTGTGTGTGTGTGTGTGTATATTTTGAATGAACATAAACATATTTACCAATTAGTAAATCCCAACAACTGTTTAGTTGGTGATCATGCAGGAATGGGTATATATATGTAAACATTCATTAAGGTATATACTTATGATTTGTGCATTTCATTCTGTGTACCTGAAAAAATCTATTAACTTATTAATTTATAATTTTGAAAGGTGATTCATGGTCAGTGTAGAAAACTTGGAAAATATAAAAACAATTACTTAAAGACCCCAAAGCTCAGAGATAAACATAAATAATTTGGCACTCTTTCATTGCTTTTTCTAAGCATTTGACCTAAATTTTATTAGGCCAGGGAAGTCCCTTTGTTGATGATTCTTGATTTATTTGGGTAGTTTAAAGGCAATATTGGGACTTTCCTGGTGGTCTAGTGGCTAAGACTCCACTCCCAATGCAGGGTGCCCAGGTTCGATCCCTGGTCAGGGAACTAGATCTCATGGTCAGGGAACCACATGTAGCAACTAAAGATCCTGTGTGTGGCAACAAAGACCTGGTGTAGCTAAATAAATAAATGAATAAATAAATATTTTAAAGAGAACAAAAAATAAAGCCAGTGCTACATACAAATGTGCAGCTTAGAAAAGTCAGTGTCTTTCTAAAGGACAATCCCTTTTCCTCATTGCCAGGTACTTAAATCAGAGTAGTAAGGGGAAATTGGTCTGGGGGAGCTTTGACAAGCACATGGGAATTGCTCTGCTTTTACTGTTTGCCCCTGGACTTCGCTGGCTAATTTTGGGTTCCTTTGTAATGTGTACAGAAGATGACGACAGGGTGTCTGTAAGTAGTGAATAGTTTCCTCATAAGATTTTCTTTCCCTTTGTAGAATCTGGTGGCAGGACAAAGAGGGAAGCTGTGACTCTTAAATACATAGAAAACCATGGCAGGCAAAGCTAGGGTTAGAAGAGAATATTTTTGTAAATACTTTTTGCTTTCCTCGCCCTATGCGACAGCATGACCTCCTTTAGGAATATTAACTGCTTCATTATTCTGTTTTGCAGGAGACTGAGTGTCCTCTACGGCTTGCCCTTTGCCAGCACTGTGATCTGGAACTTTCTGTTCTTAAGCTGAAGGACCATGAAGATTACTGTGGTGCCCGGACGGAGTTATGTGGCACCTGTGGGCGCAATGTCCTGGTGAAAGATCTGAAGACTCACCCTGAAGCGTGTGGGAGAGATGTGGAGGAAAAGAGAGTCGAGGCTGCCATGCCACCTAACGCGTATGATGAATCTTGGGGTCCAGATAGGATCTGGATTGCGTCCCAGCTCAGACAGATTGAGGCTCTGGACCCACCCATGAGGCTCCCTCGAAGGCCCCTGAGAGCCTTTGAATCAGACCTTTTCCAAAGTAGAACCACCAACCAAAGGAGCATGACAGCCCAGTTTCCAATTCAGAATAATCTATGTGAGTTGTGTCTGGGAGTAGAAACCTGGAATGGTATGAGGATCTGGGCAAATGGGAACAGGGCTTTGGAACCAGATATTTCTTAATTATAGAAACCTGACTGTAACATGAGGAAGAGTACTTAGCTTTCCTATAGAACCTCTTTGCTATGGGATTATTGTTGGGTGACAGTGCTGTTCATAGCTGACATTACTGAGTGTACCTTTGTGTGCCTAAAGGCATTTACAGAGTGCTTTACTTGTATTAACTCATTTAGTTCTCGCAACAGTTTTCTGAGGGTAGGTAAGTGGTAGAGCTGGGGTTTGAATTCATGCTGTCTGACCCTATGCTTTAAACCATTCTGCTATCACGCAGAAAGTGTGTTAGTCGCTGAGTTGTGTCTGACTCTTTGTGATCCCATGGACTGTAGCCCACCGCTTCCTTGGTCCATGGGATTTTTGAGGCAAGAATACTGGAGTGAGTTGCCATGCCCTTTTCCAGGGGATCATCCGGACCCAGGGAGTGAACCCTGGTCTCCCATATTACAGGCAGACTTTTTACTGTCTGAGTAGAAAATACATGTAAAATGCTTAGCACAGTGCCTGTTTCATAGTTATAGCTCATTCATATTACTTACTAATAAAACAATTAGAATAATAATGGAGCCTTTTATCATGGCAGTCTTAATGTTTGGATTCCTGTGAGCACTGTAGGGCTGGGCCTCTTTTGTTCTTGCACAGATTCCTGAAAACCTTGAATATTTGCTAGGCCTGGACTTGAACTAAGGGATGGCAGCATATCTAACGTTTCTTAAATACTAGTTGTTGTTGTTTTTTTCCCCCCCCTCAGTGGAAGAACAAGAAAGGCAGGAAAGGAATAGAAGCCGGCAGACCCCCAAAGAGCGTGGTGAAGACAGTGCAAATTTGGACTTCATGTTGGCCCTAAGTCTGCAGAATGAAGGCCAGGCCCCCACCTTGGCAGAGCAGGACTTCTGGAGGGTCATATATGAGGCAGACCAGTCCCATGAAGGTCCCAGCGCTCTGAATGACATCAGGGGTATGTTTGTTTATTCTGCACTAGCCTCTGTCTCTATGTCACAATTCATATAAGATTGCAAGTTTTTCATGAGATAGAATTTGTTTTTTTTTATTTCATTTATTTGCTTTTCTCAATTCTTTTTTAAAAATTGTCAAGAATAGTAAGTACAGTGACTATCTATTAATATATGCCCCTCACTTACATTCATCAATTTTAGTATTTCCACTTATCTTTATATTTCTTTCCCCCTGAGCCATTTGAGAATAAGTTGTCGACATAACATTTTATCCCCAAATGGTCTTCAGATGTATTTCTTTAGAGCAAGGGCATTCTCCTATGTGAACACAATACAAGTATCACTTTCAGGAAAGTTCCTTACTTACACATAGTGTCCTTTAGAGCTTTTTAATTTTGTTTTTGAAGTCCAGGATTATGCATTATATTTTTAGCTCTTTCTAGGTTCTTTTAGTTTGGTTTCCTACCCTCTCCCTCTTTTTAAAAACAATTGTTTGTTTTGTTTTTGGCTGTGCTGGGTCTTTGTTGCTGTGTGTGGGCTTTCCCTAGTTACAGCGAGCAGGGGCTGCTCTGTAGCTGTGGCATGTGGCCTGCTCACAGCGGTAGCTTTTCTCGTGGTGGTGCATGGACTTCAGTAGTCATGGTGCGCAGGTTTAGTTGCTCAGCGGCATGTGGGATCTTCCTGGACCAGGGATCAAACCTGTGTCCCCTGTATGGACAGGTGAATTCTTAGCCACTGTACCACTAGGCAAATACCCCTCCTCCTCTTTTCTTTCTTTTGGCATTTTTGAAGAGTCCAGACCTGCTGTTTTGTAGACTACTTCTTTCTCAGTTAAGATGTGTCTGATTATTTTCCCATGTTTAAGTTCATGTTATAGTTTTGGCAGGAGTGCTATACCGGCGATGCTGTTTCTTTCTCAAGATGTCAGTTTGTCCTGTTTGTTAGAGTAGAGTCTGTCATATATCTCCATTGTTCAGGTAGCCTTTTTGCTTCATATTAGTAGTGTGTAGGATGCTGTTTCTAGATTGCTGGGGAACATAGTCTTATCCAGCAGTTTTAGTATTCATTGATGTTTCTTGCTTGAATCAAGTATTATTATGGCAGTTGTAAAATGGTAATTTTTGTATTTCTCTCCTCTGTTCTGTATTTATTAGTTGTCCTTCATCTGTAGAGAACTTTGGTCCCCCCACCCCCATTTGAAACCAATTTTTTTTTAATCGTTGGATTAAAACTAAGTTTTTAAAAATAAAAGTTGGATTATGAGCAGTGAATCACCCTTGTTTAGAGAACAATATGTTTGAGAAAGGCATATCATATTTAAAATGCTCAACTTGTAAGATTTTAGGGACCTGAAAATTAAGTAGCTCTCAGTTGTGGTTTTTCTTCATGTCACTGTAAGAATAATGACCTTAAGGACAGTAGGATTAACTTTGAACATTTTGTTGATTTAGAGAGAATAGGAATTGGTCATGGATCCAGATATTTAAGTTTGAGTCTTTCTTTTTCTTTGGCCAAGCTGCATGGCATGTGGGATCTTAGTTCCCCAACCAGGGCTCGGACCTGAGCATTTAGATTGGTGAAGAAAGTAAAATTTTAATAGCATATTTGTGACAAATGATGACTCTGGATTCAGTGTAGTTTATTTTCTCCTTTCTTGGTCATTTCTTAGATTGCTTTATTGACTTTTTTCTTTGTTTGCTTGTTTCATTCACTCATGTTGGATCTTTCTGGATCCTGCATGAATGAGTGGTTTGGAATTTATATTCTCTTGTAGTTGCCCTGGAAATTTCAACATACTTATTTAACTTAATAAAGACTAAATTTAGTCCACCTCCTCACACTTCTCTGGGTTAACACAGTAACCTTAGACTGTGGGTCACCCCTGTATGACATAAGTACCACTGATGGATGTCAGTGTTCTCTGTTGTTTGCCTTTTAACACCCTGATGCAGAGTTCTCTTGTTTTATGTACTCACATTTATCATTTTGTGTATTATGTGTTCCCCATTTTCTTTGCTCATCCCTGCCTCCTTGTTTCTTCAAATTTCCTTTTAGGATACATTTCTTCCTGAGGTACATTCTTTATAAGTATCTGCAAGTATAAAATACTACAAGTATCTGTTGCTTATGAAGACTCTGCTTGGGTCTGAAAATATATTTTGTCTTCATATTTAATAGTTTTAAGGAAATCAAATTTTCCTGTCAACCCCCCCAGGGGGTCTAAAAGGTTGAATCAAGTGTTTTCACTTTGAGTCTGTGTGGCCTGATACCTAGGTGCAGTTGATGAGACCATGTTGCCTTGTGAATTCTGTGAGGAGCTCTACCCAGAGGAACTGCTCATTGACCATCAGGTGGGTTGTGAGTCACTTGAGGGCTTTAAGCTTTAAGGAAGAGCATGTGCAGGCCATGCTGGTGTTGCAGACCATGTGAAATCTTGAGCAAACCGATACAACTCTCGTGATGAGAGGAGCAATTGTGTTTTTTTCTTTTTCTTTTTTTTACTACTTGGGTTTTGTTTGCTGTGCTGCACAGCATGTGGGATCTTAGTTCCCTAACTAGGGATTGAACCTGCACCCTTGGCTGCTAGTGAAAGCACAGAGTCCTAACTACTGAACTGCCAGGGAAAATCCAGTAGTAATTGTGTGTGACTGACATGTGGGTGTGAGAATTCGGCCTCATTCTCTCTGGGCAAAGTAACATTCATGCCAGCAGGCCCAGTTGCTGCTTCCATTCTGTGGAGATATTGTACGTCTCTTGAGACCATCTTGTAATCAACTCTCATCTCGTGCCACGTTTGATTTACAGGAACCCTGCTGAAGTCCCTGCAGTTCCTGGGAGGGCGAGGGGTCTGTTTTGCACTTTTTTCTGCCTGGACATGTGTGGCCTTTTACCCCCGTCTCCTTAACACACCCAGCCGCACAGACCCCTCACTCACAGACTTGGTTCAGACATGACTCTCAGGAAAGTATTCTGGGGAATGCTCCGAAAGCTAGGCCAGAGGTCCCATCTGTGTGCCCCCAGACGGCCTGTGCCCATATTTCTCTTAGCCTGTTATCCTCACCCTGTGGTGTGGACTGCTGATCCCCTGTTGGTCTGTACCACTAGGTGGGGCTCCTAGAGGACAGGTTCTGGGCCTTCTTGGTTTCTGAATCTCTTAATACGTGGTGTATGAAAGGTATCAGGTAGTTTTTGAATAACTGAAAGTGCCTGTGCTATTTAGGAAGGCTTAGAGACTAGCCTTTGTGTTGGAAGAGTGGCTCCACTGGGGAGGGAGCTCCTTTCCCTCTCAACATTCTTACACTGATTTGGTTTGACCTAGTCTGGTACTTCCATGGCTAGTAAGTGGTCCCTGTGCTCTGGGTGGAACACGCATTCCCCCATATGTGAAACAATACAGCATTTGAATACATTATTTGGTTTGGGAGTAACATAAGAAAATCCATTCACAGGGATAACAAAGAATATATGGGCCTCTCTTACTGTATGTCTGTGGAAAGAATCTTGAAGCTTTTCAAATTAATTTAGAGAGAATAATCACATAAAAACACACTTAAAAAAGTTAAAACAGTACAGAAATTGTTTAAAGTAAAAGCAGAGTGAGTGTTTCATCTGTGTTCCTCTGACCTTTTTTAGTCCTTTTCCCAAATATTAATTAAGCATTATGAAAATGTTGTGACTTCCTGAAAATATTTTCAGAATTTAGTTTGTTCCTTAACTTCTGTGTTCTTTTTTCTTTCTTTTTTTTTTTTTTGTTTTGTTTTAACCTGTGTTTTTTGAGACAGACAAGCTGTAACCCTTCATGTGCCTTACCTCCACTCAATGTGGGCAGCACTTCTCCCCGAGGGGTGGAGGACCCTGATGCTATCTTCCAGAAGCTGATGCGGCAGTCTGCAAGTGACCAGTTTGAGTCTTTGATGGGCTTCAGCAGCTCTCCTCCCGTGGAGGACAGCGTTGTCATCCCATGTGAATTCTGTGGGGTCCAGCTGGAAGAGGAGGTGCTGTTCCATCACCAGGTGAGAGTCCCCGAGGGCCCGGGCACTTCTTCTGTCCCCTTGATCCTCTGGGAGTGAACCTGAGGCTTTCAGAGCCAAGAAGGCCTCTCTGGCCTTGAAATTGTGTGCATGCCTGATCTGGCTGCTGGCTGTGTCCTATTTCGTGAGCTGAGGTACACAGTACCTCAGGCCTTTGGACTTTCCCTGCCTTCTGGCAGTGGAAGCCATTGTATCACGAGCTGCAGCTCACGGAGCCAGGACTCCAGGTAGGCAAGTGTGGAGGACTTGCCAGAGGCTTTAGAGGAGTTTCGCTGAGGTCCCTGACAATTTCTGCTTTTGACCATGTGTGTTCTTCCTGTTGGGGTGGCATTTGCATCTTGCATTCCAGGAATCTGGAATCTGATTCTAGCTTTGTCCTTATGGTTGGCCTCCGGTCCGTCCCAGCCCCTCACGGGGGATGCCTGTGAATGAGGGAATTAGACTGGATGATCTGAAGTCTTTTTTCAGCTTTCACAGTCTGAGATTCCAGCATCTTAGTGGAAGATATGTTTTCTGCCCTGTCTTGTTTGTTATGGGAGTGAACACTGAAGGTATTTCAGAGGCACTTCTGTAATTGATGCCATATAGATGTTGCTAGAACACCACACATTTCATTTCTGAAATAAACACTTGTGCCTTTGGATTAAGCAGTAGATAAGTTAACTGCTTGTTGTCTCCTAGGGGAGACCACAAAATAAGCAGTGGTGCCAATACTCTGTGGTCAAAATGTAGACAGACCTTTTTGGGCTCCCAGGATCAGCCCTTCCTTCATCCCTGCACAGATCAGAGAGTGCTTCCTGATCTTCCTGATCAGTCAGTGCTAGTAGGAATGATTGCTCTGTTCCTGTCATCCTGTCCCATCAACACCACCCTGCCACCCTTCTACCCACCATCAGGTGTGTTCCGCCAACCCGGTGTTCTTGCCTCCCAGTGCTTCGTCTCATAGGAATGACTGGGTACTAATTCTGGTTTTTCTTGTTAGGACCAGTGTGACCAGCGGCCAGCCACAGCAAACAACCACGTGACAGAGGGAATCCCTAGCCAGGATCTCCAGCCTGGAGAGACCTCGCCAGAGCTGCCAAAGAGGCGTGTCCGACACCAGGGTATGGGCCAGAGCTGAGCCAAGGCTGCACTTCTCATCAGCTCCTCTAACAGGGTTACCTGCACCCCAAGTTAGCGAGCACAGCACGAGCTCACTGAGGACTCCCTTGGGGCTAGTTGTGGTCCTGGGTTAGACTTGGCTGCTTTGGGGACAGCCATGAGATACGCTTAGCATCAATGCTTACTCAGCTGCCGGTCCCTGTCAGGACACTGGGTGGATGACTGGTAGGTAATTTTCACACCTTACCGTGGCTGCCCTGGGCCCCTGCTTCTAGTTGAAATATGCTCACCTAGAGTAGGATGATCAAAATTATCCTCAGTATTCCTACAGTCTCAGGACTAGGCAAATAAACTGTTTTTGAAAGCCAGTTAGAAGTGATTTGTCAAAGTTTGCTTATGCACCATTGTTGACTAGTTAGTGAGGACTTAGGTGGTAAGTGTACAGTGTGGATTAATGTTCTCAACCCTGTCTTGGAGACATGGGTTTCAGCATCCTTTAGGGGCGAGGCAGTCATCCTTTACCCAGGATCTTTTGTTCTTGCCCCGAATCCAGCACCAAGAGCAGCCTTTCCCCTGAAGCTGGTGCTCTTTTTCTCTTCTCAGGAGACCTGTCTTCTGGTTACATGGATGATCTCAAGCAGGAAACGGCTAAAGGGCCCGCCTACCCTCTCCCCTCTAGCCGACCCCCTAACAATACGACCGCTCCTCCTAACCGCCTGTCAGCATCCACATCAGGCCCCAGGCCTGGGTGCCAGCCGAGCCCTCCTCGTGCTCTGAAGCTCAACAACGTAGACAGCCAGGGTGTCCGGGGGCGCAGTCGAAACAGCCATAATGGGGCTCTGGCTCCTGGCCACGTCCCAGCGGCTTACCCTGCTCGGAGTCTCTACCCAGAAAACCTTGTGCCCACTTTTCCCCGTGGGCCTTCAGGGCGATACGGAGCAAGGTGAGAAACACTGCTTGGGCGGAGAGCTTGGGGTGGCTCAGGAGAATGGAAGTGTGGATTTCACTTGTATTGTGGCCTGATTCATAATGTCCTTTTGCTCTCTGTGGTTTTTTATTTATTTTTGGCTTGCTGGGTCTTCATTGCTGCACAGGCATTTCTCTAGTGGCAGTGAGCAGGGGCTGTGCTCTAGTTGCGGTGCACGGGCTTCTCATTGCAGTGGCTTCTCTTGTTGGAAGGACAAGCTCTGGGTGCACAGGCTGCAGTACTTGTGGCACATGGGCTCAGTAGTGTGGCTCCTGGGCTTGGTGGTTGTGCTGCGCTGGCTTAGTTGCTCTGAGGCATGTGGGAGCTTCCTGGACCAGGGATCGAACCCGCATCTTCCTGCATTGGTAGGCGACTTCTTTACCACAGAGCCACCAAGAAAGTCCCTCTGTGGTTTTTTTATTCATTAGTTTTATCTTCTGGAGAGCTGCTTTTGTCTGGCTCCAGCTGTTTCTGTCCTGTGTTTCCTGACTTTGGCTCAGGGGCATCTCAGGAATGAGTTTCCAATCCTTCTCTTTCAGCGGTAGGAGTGAAGGTGGCAGGAGCCCCCGGGCCGCGCCCACAGCCGCCAGCTACCGCAGCAGAACTGCAAAGGTGAGTGCGATCCAGCCCGTAAAGCTCAGTGAGGACTCCGGTGGGCGGGCTGGTGTGGTTCTTGAAGTCAGAGAAGCTGCTGGGCCTCGGCTGATGGTGGCTGAAGGGCCGCGCTCCGGCTCTTGAGGAGGTTTCATAGAAGCCTGGCACTTCTGGCGCTCTTCAGGAGGACCGCTGCTTTCTTTCTGTCTGCATAAACCTCGTTTGTGTCCTGTTGTCCAACAGGCCAAAGCCCCCAAGCCACAGGGGGCTGGGGATGCAGAGGAGGAAGAGGAGGAGGAGTAACGAGCGCACCCAGAGAACGCACACTGGTGCCGTCTTCTCCACACGGCTTCTCACGGGGCAGCCCTGCTCCTCGGGCTCTGTGGGCAGGGGCGACCTTTCAGATTTTAACGTTTTCTAGGTTATGGCCATTTTGTGTCTTTTGAGATTGTGCTGTGAGAGTTTGGGGGTTTTAGGGAGGGTTGGCAGGGAGGCTATTGAGAATGTTTCAGCTTTAGCTGCTGCCTTTGACAGCACAGAAATGTACGTTAGGGTCCCTCGGCCCACCAGGGCTTCATCTTTTGACATATTGTCACCGTCGCTTCATGGTGCTGTGGGGTCCTGGTGGGAAAGAGGGAAGGTTCTGGAAAGCTGGTCCCACCAGTGAGGTGATGCTCTTCCTGTGGTGGCCTGATTTTGGGACCTTGGGGGTAACCTCTCATGTGTCCTGCCCGTCCCCACTCTAGAATTTGGGCTCTGGGGTGCGTGGAAGGGCTTTGGTGAAGTGTTCAGGCCAGTTGCAATATGTGTTAGGAACAAGGCTTTTGGGGATGGTTTCAGGTGAGTGGACTACGGGCTTTGTTTTAATCTGCTTCTTTGGCATTTGGCATCACTGCCTTCTGTTTCTGAGGGGAGGATGGCTTCTTTGTCTTCACTGCCTTCTGATGGAGAAGGCCAGGGGCTCCCTGTGCCCTCCAGAGCCATGCTGGGCTCTGCCTTAATCAGGACTGAAGCCTAAACTCGTGGTTGGCTCTGAAAACCAAGAATCAGAGCCCCCTCCCCTCTTTTTATTTTACTATTACTGTTATTATTAACATCCTTGTAATAGAAATAAACTTTGTACTTGGAGTTCAGCTGAGTCGTGTGGTTCCTTGTGCTTCGCGCTCTTTGGAGAGTGCAGGCGGACCAGCGTGCCTGGAGTCAGCTCTGTGCAACGAGGGAAGCCGTGCCTTCTGAGAGAGCGCCAGACAGTCAAGATGCGGCTTTTCTGTTTACCTGGAGTTAGGGAAACTGACAGGTGGCTGCAGCTCTGGGCTGATTTGGGGAGGGCTGGGGGCCACCCCCAAAAAAAGAGAGGAGGGCAGATTCCTTAAAAGCCTCAATCCCAAGAGTTGCTGAGCCTTAGCAAAATTATCCATCACCCCCTGGCACCTCATACTTTGCACCAGAACATCTGGCACTGTAGGTCATTTTGACCTCATTTGTTTTCCTCTCAGCAACCTAGGGGGAGTGAGAAAAGTAGGAAGAATTGCTCCAATTTCACATGTGGAAACAGGGGTGACTTGTTTTTTTTTTTTTTCAAGTTTCAGACTATTTATTCATCAGTGTAAACCCCAATACAATACACCAACATGATTCCGTGCATTTAGAGGGGAAATATTTCCTGGTTAAGTGGAAAACTGTGCGGATGGCTTCTGGAAGACCTTCATTCTAAGCAGCTTTAAGTGAAATATTGCATTTAGAAGTCTGGACCTTCTTTCTTCAGTTTGCTGTAATCTACGTTCACAGAGTAGAACTTGTACTGATCATTAGGACCTAGTTTGTTCCAGGGTTCTGGGTTATTCTTTCTGTCCCAACTGACATCGGGATTGAACAATGCCAGGCGTGTGACATACAGTGCTGCTCCAGTCCCTCCTGCTCCAATAAATATGAAGAGGGGGATCAAGCTAGGGTGCCTCTTGGCCTGACCGATGATCTGGCGGAGCATGGTTGCAACAGAGGCCTCGAGCCCAAACCGAGAGAAAAACTAAGCTGCAAGGCCGGAGATTAAACACTCACCAGGGGTGACTTGTATAAGGCTATGCAGCTATAATTCATGGCAGCCAGGACTCATCTGGATCTGAGTTACACTGAGAAAAAGAAAAAGGAGGCCCTCCTTGGCAGTCCAGCGGTTAGGACTCTGTGCTTCCACTGCAGGGGTTGTGGGTTCCATCCCTGGTTTGGGAACTAAGACCCTGCAAGCCGTGCAGCATGGCCAAAATAAATAATAACTTTTAAAAAAGGTTTTTCCCATATAGCTTTCTGGTCTGCTGTTATGAGGAGGTTTTGATATAGTAGTCTGTATATGTACAAGACTATTTTAAGTTGCTGGTATCTTAATTTCAAATGTGTTTTCTGTGTCCTGCATTTCTATTCTCCCTCATGCTTGCTGGTTTTGAAATCCTATTTGTGTATGGATGATTTTCTACCTTTACTGTAGGTTTGCCTTTGCCAGTGAGCTTTTCCATTCATTGTTTGCTTTTTTTCTAGTTTTGCCCTTTTCCAGTTAGAGATGTTCTTTTAGTATGTTACAAGGTTGGTTTGGTAGTGCTGAATTCTCTGAGCTTTTTCTGAATTCTGTGTAAAGCTTTCGATTTCTCCACCAAATCTGAACGAGAACCTTTCTGGGTAGAGTATTCTTGGTTGTAGGCTTTCCCCCATTTCATCCTGCAGTGGAAGCCTGGAGTCTTTGCCACTGGACCCCTAGGGAAGTTTGGTGCCGTGTTTCTACTGGATTTACACCCAGGAGTGGACTTGCTGGTCTCAGAGGAGGAACCAAAACAACTAAAGCAGGTGTAGGGTCCATTCCCCCAGCAGTGCATGAGAGTTCTCTTGGTTCCATGTCTTCCCCAACCATGGTGCTATCTTTCTAGCCCTTTTGCTGGTGGTGCAGTATGCTCATTGTGATTTTAATTTGCATTCCCCTGATATAACTAATGAGACAGGATATGTTCTCATCGTTAGATGGTGTAATTCTGAATATATTCGAGATAACTTTTTAAAAAGGAAATGGCCTCCACCATCCTGGCCAGCTGAAACTCCAATACTTTGGCCACCATATGCAAAGAACTGATTCATTTGAAAAGACCCTGATGCTGGGAAAGATTGAAGGTAGGAGGAGAGAAGGGGATGACAGAGGAAGTGGTGGCTGGATGGCATTACCGACTCAATGGACAGGAGTTTGTGTAAACTCTGGGAGTTGGTGATGGACAGGGAGGCCTGGCGTGCTGCAGTCCATGGGGTCGTAAAAGAGTCCGACATGACTGAGCGACTGAACTGGACTGATCCGGCCAGCAGGAGAATCCTAGGTGTGACAGCAGAGGTGTCTTATTCTCTGGCTTCGTGTGTCTGATGAGAGTCTTCTCTCTGCTGCGAGTGCTTGCTTTTTGCTCTGCTTCTAGCACCCTGAAGCAACAAACTGGAGAAGAAAGGAAAGTTGCTTGTTCCTCGTCCAACAGGGTTTTTAAGCTTTGTATAATAAATATGTAGGACACAACCACTAACAGCATGTATTGAGTACAAAGAAGGTGGAGTCAAGAGAATGAGAATTAAGTGGGTCTGTAGTCTCCTGAATGCAGACCAGAGGGCATGTATGTATATGTGCGTGTGTGTGTAGGGTGTGGTTGGTATGACGGGGAGTATGTGTGTGATGGATATGGGGCAAGAAGGCAGAGCGTTGATCTTGGATGGTAGTTCTGAGCTAAGTCTTTCCCTCTTCCCTGCATTTTCCTTTTGCACAAAGTAGTTCTAAATCCACTGCCTGTGCCCAAGGGAGGACATGTGGTCTAGGAGGGGCCCAGACTCTTCCAGTGCAGCTGTCCACTTGAGGAAAATCCTCACATCAGATGAGAGTATATACCAGCTCTAGGACAAGGAGTTGGCAAGACCTGCAGGGGTAGCTTTACCTTTGACCTTGGATTTCCATCCCTTCGATCAGACTTCCTATATGAAAACCAAAGAGACTTCTCTGGTGGTCCACTGGTTAAGAGTTCATCTTCCAATGCAAGAGGTGCAGGTTCCATCCCTGGTTGGAGAGCTAAGATCCCACATGCCTCATGGCCAAAATCCAAGATATAGAAAAAATATTGTGACAAATTCAACAAAGACTTTTTAAAAAAGTCCACATCAAAAAAAAAAAGAAAAGAAAACTTAGAAAAAGAAAACCACAGACTTAAGGGGTCAAGTTGGGGAGCAACAGGTCATTTATAAGCATAATGGAGTTAAGAATCACACCAAGTGCAAAGAGACCATAATAATTAGAAACACTTTTAATTTCTAGCCGCTTGGTAACCCTCAAACATCAGAGCCATTCAAGGATGTTAGCCTTTGAATGTTCTCAGCAAGAGTAGATGACCACACAACTCTTAAGGTAAATCAAAATTAGATGAAGGTTATTTATTGGTGTGACTTTTCCTGTCATGAGCTTCCTTTACACAGCAGTGGTGTAAATAGCATCAAACTGAATGAAAAGTTTGTTAGATGCAACCATAAATAATTATAATAAATATACATCAAGTAACTTTACAGCACACATTTTTTAGGGCCAAGGTTTGGATCTGTCTGGACCTCAATGTGTTCTCTGGGAGAAGCAGTCGTGTTAGCAGCAGATACCTTACTCACAGCTGTCATCTAGTCAAGAGATGGGCCAACAAAAGCTTCCTCTTGGGGAGGTAGCTGACAATTCAGAGTCCATTCAAGGGATGGGAAGGATGGGGGGGTAGGGGGACAAAGATTTAAAAATACAGGGAGGAAAAACCACTTTTAGTAAATCCAAAGGCTCTTTCATTATGCAGAAATGAAATAAAAGGATCCTTGTTGTCAGGACTATGTCCTGGCGAGACTCCCAGTCAAGGGGGCTATGGCCCCCAGGAGGCAGCAGCCGACCGTGTTCCTTCCAGTCAGGGAAACTGGTGGCAGGCACCTCCAGACATGACTGATCCTGCATCAAATGTAACTGATGCGACTGGAACAATTCATCCAGGTTTATCCTTTCCTTAGGTCAGGGAATCGTTTCTATAATGGTCCTTAATGCATTTCCTAAGAAGAACAGGGAGGCGGTGGATGCTAATGCTTTTAACTCTAAAATCCACACCTTTCCAACAGGCCAGGGCTACAGCCGAGAAAGGAAGAGCAAATCCTCTCTCTCACCAGCATTCACACTCCAAAGCCTTCTAGACAGCACTCACGCAGAACTTCCAATATTCACAATATTTTACAATAAATACAGTGATGTAATTTTGCACGAACTGGCAAGGTCCAAAAAT